TTGAGTTGGTGTTGTGTAATAAAGAAAAAATTGGTATAATATAATATGTCATGCACCTTTAATAATGCATCAAAGAGTAATATGTCTAGTGTTACAATTCTTTGATAGTAAGGGGAATAAAAAATAATCCCTTTGTAGCCACGTAGGTTTAAATGTGGTGACTTCGGGCTATCTGCAAAGCAGGTGGTTACCTTACGATTAGTCGGTTCACATAACGGATCAGATATCCAGGTTAATAAAAAAAAAATTGGCATGAGGGATATTTGGTGGGAGTATCATATGTTTGACTTTAAGAAGAAAAAGGAATGTGTATTAAACAAATGTTTTGGTAGCATATTCTGTAATAAATTAAACATTCTTTGCTTCTTTGTTTCTTCCTGTTCCTTCACATTCCACCAACAACAAAAGAGAAAGGCTTTGATTCCTTATCCTCCTTCCCACATTATCATGAAAGCAAATCTACCAACTTTCAAATATTCTTGGTTTTTTTAACTAATTAAAAGTTACTCATTTTGAAAGATTATAAAGTCAACATTTTTCTTGTTATTTACCCTATAAATCTTTTTTAATGATTTCATGATCAATGGAAGAAAAATATAAATTATTATCATGTGTCACAATCGAGAACGTGGATAGGAGTGGGTCGGAGATGGGATGCCGTTTGCAACAACATTCTCATCTGTATTTTTTAAGGATAAAAACTAGATAGGGTTTCCCGTCCTAATCAGGTTGATGAACTAGGTAAAGGCCAATCCAGGGATTTTTCATGTCATGTGTTGAAATAATAAATAATGCCCAACTTGATATGACAACAGAGAAAACATACTAATTGTATGGGGTTCAGAACCTAATCAAACTAGGCGGCTCATCCTCAGGCCATTTTGGTTAACGTTCTTGATTGATAAATGTTATATTTCGTAATATATATCTTATAATTATATTGTGAGTCCCATTTCATACAGCAATTCAAGAACAAATCATAAAAGAGATTGATTGAGGGATGAAGAACTTGATGAACCGGCCAGCTTATCTTATTCATCAAAGCAGGAAATTACAAAACTCTCAATCTCACTTTAGTCGAGTCTCATGTAAATGGAATACAGAGTGATCAACTCTAAATTCTAAGCCCATGTCTCTTATTTATAGGTGACAATTACATTGAAAGCCCAATGCTCTTAAACCCAATTACATGAATATTACAATAAAATACAAAGTAAAAGGACTTTATAAAACTTTCAAATACTTAGGACTATTTTAATCCTAACATAATGTTACTTCAAGTTAAGTTTAACTTAAGATACTTGCATACAGTGAGTGTTAGCTTAAACTAACCATATACAACCGTATATGGTGTTTCATTTTGTCTTCAACCTTAAGAAGAATTAACATTGTAGTTGTGTGGTATTTTTAAATTGTCTAAACATCTCTAAGCATTGTTTTGAAGATTGCAAGTTTTTGGGCCACTTCAAAGAATAAAGCCGTTAACCATTATTTTGGAGCCCAAGTTGAACTATTTCTTTTGTCCAAAATTCTATTTGAGCCCAATAAACTTGAATTGAAAACCCAATACGTGTTTGGCCTATCTTAAAGTTTAGGTAACCAAACGTCTTTGAGTTAAGATATAAAGCATGTCTAGATTCATGAATTAAATGTATGTCTTTAATTCTTGATTGAAAGTTAAGTTTTAGCTTTTAAAGAGAGTTTTTTGGGATGAGTTTAGAACCCTATAAATAAGAGTCTCTTGTAATCATTTTGATCATCATCCTTGAATTATAAACACTTTGTTTTTTTATTTTAACTCATCTGTGAGCAGACATATCTTGCAAGAACGTTCATAGTTCAAGAACTTATCAAGATTGTGAGCACGATCTTGTGGCGTTCTTCTAGATTCCTTTGGTTCTTAGTTTCTTAACTAACAGGTCAAGGATTGCTCTAGGTTAGTTGAAGAATCCTATACCTGGGATATTCGTTGCCTAATCTATCTCATACGAAGGTTCCGAGTTAATTAACTTGCGCATTGATGTTTTCGTATCATTGGATTTACAAGATTCAACATCAAATAATGAAGGAAAAAAACAAAATAAACAACAATCGCCAAGAGTCATATTATAACTATAGATAATCACAAAAAAATTAATTGAAACTAGCTAGGGAATCTAAATTATATAATATAGGATTTGACTTTAGAAAATAACACATAAAACATGTGTGGTTCTCAGTAAAACTAACTAATAATTCTGAGTTGTTTCATATAAGGTTTGATTTTACCGATTCTTCTCAAAAACTTGTTTGACAAAATAAAATATAGAGCATAATTTCCAAACATTATCATGGTTTTTCAACAAAAAAAAAAAACAATACAAAGTATTAATTGTTGAACGTGAGTAGTTCTATTCAGCTTTCATTTTATTTGAGATAAATATGTGTCAGTAATACGACAAGACAAAATAAAAGTAGTTTTAAGATGATTGAAAAAAAGGAAAAGAAAAAGAATTTAGCAAAATAATAAATTAGAAGTGGGACAAAATATAACTAGATGCAGCAATAGACTACTGGTAAGGTCGTATTTTTACATCTTTATGATCAAGAGTTTGAATTCTTCTATCTCCATTTTCTTTAATTCTTAGTGGCAATAGCCAAGTTGATGCCCCTTGGACTTTGATGTCCGGGACCGACACCTGGGTTGCACGCCTCAAGACCGACTCGTTAGGGTCGGAACAAATAACCATACAGTTTGCACTATATCATAAGATCCTTTTAATTATTTTGACCATTTAATTATTCTACATCAAATCATTCGGTAACTGCCAAAAAACCTCTAAGTTAAGAAAAAGAAGAAATGGAAATAACGTAAGAGATGGAACCTTTGTTATTGAAAAATAAGCAATACAAATTAACCATGAAATTACGTATTGACATGTAATTATTTATTGATACTTGCAATATATTATAAATAAGTCAGTTGGGTTTGGTTCCCAGTTTCTTACTTTAAAAACCAAACGAAATACGTCAATTTCAAAATTTTGAGTAATTCTCGTAGTTATAAAATGTTCGTGGCAACAGTCATCGTGGCGTACGGTGGCTTCAAGGTTTGTGTTTGGCACCATATTAAGTCAGTGATATATCATGGCCTAATGTACAGTTTTTGTAACACAATATTTGATTTTTTTTTTTTAATATTTGTTTAGTGTTAATATGTAACCTAATTATATTGTTTATATATATATATATATATATATATATATATATATACTTTGAACTCATCATAACTGTAAAATTTAAAGTTTGACATTACACTTCTTTTACCACAGTTTATGTTATTTAGAACTTTGATAATTGTTGAATGGTCGAATTATTAGGATGCAGCAGGTGTTTCAGATCCAAATTCCCGTTGGGCTTTATATACTTATATAATAATGATGAATGATTCATGATATATATCGGAGATTGAGCCAGGTTTTATAACTTAAAGTTACGGATGTGTGGCCCAAATCCCATACTTCTTAGTTCTTACTGGCCCGAATTTGACTTCCAGATATGTTCTTTTATTGTTAAATTAAAATTTTAAAATATATGGGAGGAGCATAAAAAAGTTATATACAAGATTATGATAAATAGCAAATTGACTTTTACGGTTTCTAATTTTTTTTATATGATTAATCGATTGAAAATATATATTAAAATAGAACCAACTTTAAGTTGAGGAAATAAACTATCAAAATTATCACTTCTAGTCTGAGCAAACTTTTTAGTTTTTATTTAATTAAGGTGTAGAATGCTTGTTTATCGATCCGGTTACCTTTGAATGATGTTGCATTAAACCAAACAATAAACAAATGCTTATGTGGATTAAAAAAAGAAAAGAAGATAAGTCACTGATTTTTGAAGTCAGTTTATAGAAATTAATGGTGCCTGTGTTATAGGGTTTATTACATAGTTATTTTCCAGCAGCATGGTCTTGTCCCATGACCATGACCTTTCCAAGATGCATCATTTCCCCTCCACTAAAACCTGCAACTTCCTTCATTTACCCCCCACCCCCACCACACACATACAACAAACATACGCATGCACAACTCACACACACAGTCACACACACCCCACCTTGACAGACATGTTATTGACAAAGCTATGGTTGTCGAGAGAGAGAGAGAGAGAGAGAGAAGTGGAAGAACGATTTTTAGGTTGGATTGCCAAGAAAGCCGCCTCTGTACAGAACGATTTTGACGGTGCTCGGAGTTTGATCAGGAGTTCAAGAAAGGAGTGTGGTGGGTGGAGGGTTGAGGTGGCGATGGAGGTTGAAGAAGAAGGTGGTCGGAGCAGTGGGGTGTGTAGCCGAAGCTGTGATGAAGCTGGTGGTGTACAGTCCAGGAACTGGGGAACGATGGAGGTAGAAGAAGATGAATAATATTTGTATGAAGGAATCATGAGACGGTGATGCAGCATGGATGCATAAGGAATTATGCATGGATAAGGAAACATCAAACGGAACGTGGGTCGGTGTATGTATGCATGGGACGGCAAGTTCCATGCATGTCTAGCCGCAATCTAATCGCATGGAAGAAGAAAGTAACGCAGCAAACAGTGGAACATGCCAGGGTCAAGCGGGTGAAGTCGCATGCTACTCGCCTGAGTGGGAAAACATCCCGAGTCTTAAGCGGTTTGGATGCTGGTTGAGCTGCTTGGCACCTGCAGTCGTTTCTGTTCCCTTTGTTCGATTACGCCTTCCGGGCTTCCTTCAAGCTCATTTCCTTCGTTTCCAAAGGTCAAAGAAAAGCCTCGTTAATTTTAACTCGTTATTTGAAAGCGTTGGATAATTTTAAATCTGGTGGTTGGCAGGTCGCCATCAATCCATGCCACCATCGTCAACCACTCTCATATTTTCCGATAAACATTCAATCCCCGTGTGGTAGCCCCATTATCCTTCCTGCTTTCAACTGTTTACACCCACTCTTAAGCTAATTAATTCAACTCCCAAAACTCACACACAAAAACAAAATATGAGTGTCACTAACCTCGCAACTGCTCTCATAGTAATCTTCGTGGTATTCGTCGTCGCTCTCGCCGGTCAATTCCTCTACGTAAACTGGCGCCGTCGTTCCTTCCGCCGCCACACCTCCCATCCTCCTCCTGTAATTCGCAGCGGCAACCAATCCCCTGATTTTTCCACCGATGACGCTGCAACCAAGGAGCTGCTCTACTTCTTCTGCTTGAAACCCCATATCCGCCATGATCTATCGCCCAACAAGAATACAGCTGGATCATTGCCGGACGATCAGGTGGTTGACGTTTTTAAGCTGTTAGAAGCAAATGGACCGGCCAAGTTTCTTTGTACGATTAAAGAGGAAGRCAAAGACGATGTCSAGTCAACTTCTGACGTTGACTTTCCAAACAAACCGGCTACAAAGGATGTGTGCTTGCCGTCGTGTCTTCAGTTAGCGGAAGAACCCGTGGCGGAAGAGGAGGAGGAGGAGGAGGAGGTTGCTGTGACGGTCGACCGAGGAGACGCAGATATGAACACGGAATTCTCGACGCCGTGTGACTCACCGTCGTTTTTTACACCTGCAGGATCTCCGTCACGAGATTTTATGGAAACGAAGTTTGCTGTTCCCGTTCATATAACTGGGAACATTGATGACAGATGATCGGCGGCATATATAGTTGCAAACGTCTTGTGCTGTTGACTTCTTCTTTCTTATGTATCTCTAAAGCTTGGCTATTTAATTGGCTTTGCTGATAATGTTTTGAGACTCACCGGAGAAGATGCTCCCGGCTCCGGCAGCCGGCGTCTTGTACACAAACCCTTTATACTCAATTTCTCCCTGTGTTTGTTAGTAACCAATAATATTCTATTCGTATAATGTATCTTATTTAAAGATGTATATAAATCATTTATGTCATAAAATTATATAGATTTAATTATTTTACATATATATATATATATATATATATATATATATATATATAAAGGTTATATTGAGAACTGGTAAATATTTTGTAAGTAAAAAAAATATTGTGGCTTTTTACATGTTCAATATTGGATTTGACTTTTCAATCATTACAGCACATGTCAAAAATTGCGATTATACGAAAAAATAGATAGGGTACCTTCTAATTTTTACAAATAGACAACAAAGTGGTTCTTATATAGACCTATCTGTGAACTCGTGTAATTTAGATATGCACTAGTTTAACTGATTCACATATGAACCTTTGTGATGCACATATAGACTAATTAACTGATTCAAATATGAACCTTTGTGATGCGCATATGAACTAATTAACTGATTCAAATATGAACTTGTGTGATTCACATATGAACTAATTAGCTGATTCATATATGAAACAGTTAAATAATTCACATGTTAACTAATTAACGGGTTCACATATGAACATATAGTTCATATGTGTAGCACGTGGGTTCACGTATGAACCCGTTTGTCGCTTATTTATAAAAGTCATGAAACTATACATCCCTCTCTTTTCTACATACTCATATGGTATTTCAAAGTCAAAGCCGCAAATGTTGACTAAATGAAGACTAAGATCACTTCTTTACTTCTCAAATATTTTACCACTTCCCAAATGAACATTTCCTCTATAAATAACAATAGCATTTCACGAGTTTATAATACAGGTAAAATTTAAATTTGATACATTTCAAAGCTTAAGACCGTTTAGCCAAATGCTTACTCCGTAAATGTTTACCTGTAAACATCAACAGTCTTACTTACACAAGATTCTAATTTATTAAAACGACATCATATGCAATTATCAGGGACGGACCCATAAATTTTTCTTAGTATTTTCAAGAATCCTATATTTTTAATCTACATACACATATAATATCCCAGAGAGCTAAAATTAACAATAAGGAAATTGTTTCCACTAAATCCATGAAAATAGCAATACACAAACATGTCTCTATTCAGGTGTGTTTGAAATAGTTTCCACTAAATCCATGAATTTTAATTAATCGCATCTCTAACCTATTACTAAAAACATAACAATGGAAGAGTTTTTATCTTTAATTCAACACTAAAACACTAAAAATTATAGAAGTCTTTGAAGTTCGCCTCTACAAATGATATATTAATACGATATTAAGTTTCTATATATATATATATATATATATATACATATATATATATATATACATATATATATATATATTATATGTACACCTAATAAATAAGTAATTTTGGGAACATGTGTGTGCGACGGTTATTGATTTTTCCCACCTAAACATGTATCTAAACACAATTTTCATTTATGGTTTAATATGGTCTATTTAATAGACATCTGTCCCTCTAGACAGTTATTTTCCCGTTTTCGCGGATTACCTGATTGCTCAGACAAATTAGAAATTTATGATATGTTTTCTATAGTTTCTAAATCTGAAATCTTCCCAGACTTATAAGACTGCAAACGAAGTCTGAACTACCCACTCTGAATTCGCATCCGAACTTAGAAAAAGAAGTATGAAACTATTTTCACCTAAAAGTCCAGACTAACAACACAACTCTGAATTCTTGTGCTTTAGAGCTAAAGTTCAGAGTTTCTTTGTAGGCCTGAGGACAAGTCTGAACTCCTTTTCTGTAACATACACTTTCGCAAATACGTTGCAATTATCCCCTTTATATGTGTTTATGTGATGAAAACGTAAAATTTGGAAGCAAACCCGAATGCAATAAACTATATATGAAATAGTCGGAATCATCGTACAAGGCCCGGGGCAAAACAATTGGAAAGAAACGGGTCAAAAACATCAATATCTACGTTACGGATACATAAAAACTAACTTTTATTGGAAGATATTTTTTGAAATATTTCTATTGTAAGTTGTAGATTATCTCTTTACGAACGCGTGAGCAAAAACCACGTCAAAAACGGAGGTCCGAGCGAAAAGTTATGCGATTTTTAGTGATTAGTGGTCAAACCGAGTTTTCAGCYGAGTCAACTCAGCCCCAACTCGTAAAAGTCGAATATACATGATGTTTACCTTCTTTTTCACCTAAAACAAAGTTTCATCTCCTATATTTACTACCAGGGGCGATTTTGGCTTCATAGGGGTGAATCAAGGTTGTTTCAAGGGGTTTTTGCTTGAGTTTTATGTCAAATTCATCCTCCAATTAAGGTATAGTTATTTCATTGGTAAATTTCATGATTTGAAGCTAGTTAGAGATGAAATCAATAAAACCTAACTGAGTTATATTAGTTATATGTTGTATTTAGATTGGTTATAGCCTAACTAAGTTGTTATGATGCTTGATTGATGAATTGGAGCTTTCGAAAATGAAGAACATAGGTTGAACTTTGATTTTCTTCATTAATGGCTATTTTGGTGAAATTCTTGAGTATTGATCTTGTAATCAATAATATAAATATGGTTAGATGGTATTTTGATTGTTGGAACAAAGATTGAATACAAAATATGGATTTTAGCCTATTTAGTTAGTGAATTTGACAGCACCAAATTTATCCAATATGCTATTTTGAATGTGCGATAACTTCTTAACCGTAGCTTGGATTGCTACGATTCTGGACATTTTAGAAAGCTTATATGTAGAGCTGAATGAAATCATATCCATTGCTTGAGATTTCTCTGATTCCCTTTCTTTTATCAAATCTCAGGGCTTCGATTTGGAGGCTTGGGCTGGAAACCTATCCTTTAGACACGTTTTAGAAATAGGGCTTCTAGGTTGGTTATAATTGCGTCTAAAAACTGATAAAAGTTGATTTTGAGCTGTGAATTATAGTGCTTAAAATGAGTTTAGATTAAGTTTGGTTAAGTTTTTGTTGTCGGATCTTTATGAAACTTTGGGTACATATTACAGGTGTTAAATAAGCTCACTTGGTCCTTCCAGAGTGACCGTTGGTCGACGTTTAGACATATATGGACGTAGAGCCTAATTTGGCTCAATTTTTGAATATCAAAAAGCATTGTGAGTTTATGGGGCTACTTAACTTGCTATTTGCTAGACATGTGTTATCTATTTGCTACTTGCTTCCACATTCATCTATGTTATGTCTCCTTATCAATTTCAAGAGATTATTGTCTATTGCACTCCGTCCTTCCATACGTGCTACTCGGTGGTTACTTTGTGTTTCACCCGGGGAGGCATGCTTAAGCCCATATCAGCTAAGATTACTCGGGTATGGTGCGTATTTGACCGTGTTAGAGTCCGGTCATTTTCCCCACTGTCCAGGATAGCTCGGGTGGGAAGATCATTCCACTGGTCGGGATAGCTCGGGTGGTATGAAATCTATGATATATATTGTTGTGCTTGCCACGACCGGGATAGCTCGATGGCAGTACATATCAATTATTGACTTTCACACGATCTATTTGTTGCATACTTTGATATTCAGATGTATGATTCTCGAATGATGATTACTTATTACATGATTTACATCCTTTGTGATCATTGACTTCCATGGATTACATTTGTGAAGCTTTAGTAGTTAGTAGTTCCCGTTTACTCACTAAGCATTATGTGCTTAACCTGTTAGTTGTTCACATTTTTACAGGTCGTGTAGATAAGGCAAAGAACAAGCTCGAGTAGATTGAGATCTTTGCTTTTGGTGCTTCTAGTAGCACGACTCTTTTGGTATTATATAGTTAGTCGAATACAACTAYGGATTGTAAATTATTAGTTGTCTTTTGGTTGTAACTGCAAGTATCTAGATAACGGGTAGCTAATGTCCTTCGTCTTGTATATAGTTTAAGCTTCTGCAAATCTATTAAGTTTATTTTGTCCGTTTTAGGATATTTTGGAAATCAGGTGTTTACGGAAACATCCTGTAAACCAAGCGGACATTTCGAATTAGAAACTCGTAAATATTATATCCCGTTTGCTTTCTAATGGTTTAAAAATATAACTTTTGGTGGTTTGTTTATCATTTATAGAAATGAGGTATTCAACCTGGTATCATTTATGTAATCTGGGTCTTTCATTTTTCTAAGGTAAAATTCAGAGTTGTCTTCCAGACTTGTAAGACATACCGGTATAAAAATTTGAGGACAAGTCTGAACTCTTTTTCCTCAGTTAAAATTCAGAGTTGTTTTCCAGACTTGTAAGATATACAAGTATGAAAGTCTGGGAAAATCAGAGTTATAAGTCTGAATTTAACTCTGAAGTAGCCTCTAGACTTACAACATAACTCTAGGAAAATTCAGAGTTGTGAGTCTGAATTTAACTCTGGAGTGGTCATCAAAATTGGGTTTAAAATTTCAAATTCAGATTTTTCGACCCTAGCCAGAGGCTTTGCCCCTTGGGCCACGCCAGGGGCTGCCGCCCCTTGGAACCCGCCACCGGGGGCGCTTCCCTCGAACCCTCGTCGTTAGGGGCTTCGCCCCTAAATCAAAATAAACTCAAATAAGCGTGCATTCCGCACCTTCTTACTTGTTCGATATTTATCATGATTACATTGGTCAACAAATTAATACCATTACACTTAAATGACATTAGTGATACAAATCACCAACATGAAGTCATCAAATATTGATTATTTCTCAAACTTACAACATAACTCTGAATTGTTATGTTCCAAACTTAGTTCTATAGTTTATTCACAGACTTAGAATACAACTCTCAACTCCTCTTCAGAGTTACGTTTTTGAGTTATAAGAAGTCGGAATTCT